TAGAACATCCCTGTGGCAACATTCGTTTAGAACATCCCTGTTGCAGTATTTGTTTACAATATCATTGTTACATCAAAGACGAAACAGAATTGGAATATCGTAGACATAATCATTGAATGTAAGCTAACAAAACACAATACAACTCCATCCTTCTCACGGAGTAGGGAGGGGATGGGCGTTACCGGGGCAGAGCGGCGCTGCAGCTGATCTCTGGCGGTGCAGTGGAGGTGGAGGGGAGGGGGGAGCAGGGCAGAGCAGCCTTCGCGGAAACGGCTGCAATCTCAGGGAAATCCATAACGCGAACCCCGCACGTCAGCGCAACGTGTTTGACGTTTTATGACGCGCCTCGGCTTCCCGGCCAATCAGATTTCGTGCGCGTAACTTTGATGGATTTTTCTCTAAGTACGGCTTTCGTTTCGCGGAACCGGCGATCAAGGTTGTTGTTTTGTTTGTCATTTTAACAAAAAAAGGTAGTGCATTGAGGATAGAGCAGCTTTGTCATCTATCTTGGAGACAGCGGTGAGAGTATCCTGTAAACTTCGTATTCGTTGTGTTTCTTGCGGATACGATAAATAGGATTCCTTAACAGCTGTTGAGTTCAAAAGCTATTATAAAATGGCACAGAGATCGATTGTTCACTTCGATGAAATATGAAATGTGTGCAATAAATTAATAAGATAAGAGCCAAGAGAATTACTTGCAATCGGAAATCTACTCAGGAACAATGTCTCCCCATAATATTAAAATGTTACATTCAATTTTTAATAAATACGACATGTTTTCTCATATTATTTCTCTTCTCAAATTGACAATACACATATCAATTCATTCATAAATACTACCTTACTCTTCACTCTACACATCAGAATGTAACTTTTAAAATGCAATAAAAAACCTCGTTTGTTCATTTCCAAATCAAACACATCATTCCTTTTTCCTGGGATTTTTAGTAAATCAGAAAATGTGAAAAACAGACTACAATAACGACATAAAGTACCTCACAAAAATAAAATCTTCTTTTAAATTGTATGATGAACCAAAAATAATTTTAGAGTGAGAATCAATACTTGATCACTTTCAAAATAGGTGTAATCAATTCGTTAATAGTTATGTTAGTTAAATTGTCTCTTTAAAGAATATTATTTAATGCCTACAATATAATAAATAATAATGATAATAATAATAATAAATAATAATAATAAAATAATAAATAATAATAAAAATAATAAAATTATGTAATAAATAATAATAATTTAAATAATATAAATAATATAATAATAAATAATTTAATAAATAATAATAATAATTTAATGCTACTTGTAATTAGTGAGTCGGTTAATCACTTGTAATTTTCTCTCAAATAAAATTGCACTATTACCATACGTGTAGGAGGAAGAAAATTTAAAGGCCCCTCAGCCAGCAGCCCTGAAGCAGAACTAGAGCAGCAATCTCACGCACCGTCTCCATGAAGCGTTCAATCGCGAAAACAGCGCCTGCCATAAAACACGTACCCGACCGGCGCGCCGGCGCCGTGCGTTGGCGTGTTTCATTATTTCTGCCACAATCCCGTACGTCTGTTTCCATCAGCGGCTGTTGGCGCGGCTCATCGGGGCCTGCTTCCGCAGCGCCGTCACGTTTCCTGCGGAGCGCTTTGTCGGAGTACGCGGCTCCTGACAGCCGAGTACATCGCCCGGCGATTCGCTTCACCCGCTCACCCGCCTCCGGCCCCGGCTCACGCCCCCAGGCCTGCCCTTCCCCGCCCGGAGGCCGCGCCATTGTTGCCACCACCCCCGCCGCCGCCGCCACCCTCGGCCTTTGCCTTCCGCCCCGCTGCAGCTCCGCATCCAAACCCATCGCGCTGCCATTCCCTCCACGTCGCCCTTCCAATCGCTGAGCTGTAAGCTGCCCTCTCTGCCCCCGGCCCCTCGATGGTGTTGGGTTCACTGGAGCCCCATTCCCTCTCGCGCAACCTTTTGCTTGGCCGCCCACTCACCGCCCCTCTCGCCCATTGTGATCGGCCGCCTTTTACCACCCTGCAGGAACACTAGTCTGTGATCATCCACCCCCGCCGCCCCGTCTCAGCTTCCACCTTCATCACCTCCTCCACAGGGCAACAACCGATGTCACTGCAGTGCCTCTGACTGGAAAATCCCGGGGTTCCAGTCTCGATGGTGGCAGGTTTTTCGACAGTCTCTTGTCAGCTAGATCGAATTCAGTCGCTGTCTGAAGGAGAATTCTAGTTTCCATCTGTTCTGATCGTTAATTGTCCGTGGTTTCTCCGATTAACACCAGGCGAACCCTAACAATCGGGCCATGGACCACGCGCCCCTTCCTTGTCCTAACGTCACCGCTTATACTTGCACTCACACGCACTACACTATCACATATCAGAAGCTTAGAGCCCGGCTGGGGCGGTGTCATGCAGATGGGAGATACCTGGTTGGGGTAAACCCCCGTAAGCCGACAGTAGGTCAGCGCTGGATCTCGCCAGACAGCGAGGGGGGGGGGGAGACCACCGCCATCCGCCGTGATCAAAACGTTCATTACACTTACGCGACTAATGACTTTAGCAGTTGACGCGCCCGGAATCACTAATCAAATCAATCAATCAAAAACCACCCTCCCCTCACTCTCGCGGTCTCGCGGCAACCCTCGCCTCCGGTACTGCGTCCCCCACTTCCTCAAGCCCTTGCTCCCACGCTCACCCTCACCCTTGACAATGCTTGGCTATCTGCAGCCCTTCGCAGCCCTTCAGCGGCCCCCGTCGGCGCCGCGCCGCTGGCTGATCGCCCCGAGCCACCGCCCATTCGCGCGGCCGTCCACGTCGGTCACTCCCGGCCCGGCACCGCGCCGCCGCTTTCACTCCGCGCATTGTCCCTGCCCCACGCGTGCACTCCGCGCCGCCCTCCGCCCCCCAGGTTCATTCGATTTATTTTTATTTTTTCTTTCTTTCGACCTTTCCATTCGACTTTCTGGTTTGTGTGTTTCCTCAATGGCTTCCCCTGGACTAGACACAATCCTTATTCTACAACACGTACCCTGCCTACCCGCAGTATATTTCTATACTTCTTTCATTCCCTTCCATTTTATTCTCCGACGCTCTTTTGACACGCCGCAATTGTTATCCTGCTGCACTCTGAATTCCTCTTGTGCAAGACGTGATAATTCTTGTTGTCTTCGGTATTTTTTCTATTTTATCTACAATCCCAGGGCGTGGAGCACATACGTGATAGATTCGCTTACGTTTAAATTCCGGGTTCCTTGTTTCTATTGCGAACGTTATCCTCCAAGCGCTGCCTTCTTCACTCGCCAGTCAGCCCTTTGGGTTCTGAACACCGGTGTACCTTATCTCGGCCGCGGGAGCGTACCCCCCGCCTTCCAAGATCTCTCCTTTGTCCGCCCGCGCCGTCAGCGTCTCCGCGGCTGAGAGGTGGCTCAGTGCACGGGCGGTCGCCTCGTTGTGGTGGAGGCGGTGGCGGTGGCGGT